CTGGACAGTACAGTATTTACATGACCTGCTAACACCCACCTATTTGCGGCTACTGCATTATCTCCTCAACACAGGAGTACAATGGGCACATAATTCCACAAGGGTGGCTGGCAGTGTTTTAGGAGCAGTGTCCACACAGAACTAAAAGTAATCAAATGCAAAACCAATGCATTAAAATAACAAGCAAAAAGTAAAGATTCTAAGAATACAACAGGTTGCAAACCTATGCTGCCCAGCCTGCAATGAAGGACATCATCAATCCTGTCTTGCACCAAGGTCAGTTTCATAAAAAAACAACAACTTAGCTTCCTTTTTTGCTTTCTTCATGGGTAACCAAATGAAAATTCCACACAGAGCACTTTTCCTACTCTTATTTCTAACTTTAAATATTATCTGAAAGAGATCCTGCTTTGGCTCCGAGCCCTGGCAGAAAGTAGGATTTTTCAGCTAACAAGGGCCTCCTGGAGATTTTACAAGACCATGGGGATATTCAAAGTATTCTTCCACTTTAGTGGGGGTCAAATTAATAGATCACATGCCAGACCTAAAGTGGCATTTCATGGATTATTTAAAAAATGTACTTCTACTGTAACTTTAAAGACTGCTTTAAGATACACAAGCAGTTAATGAAGTACAAACCCATAGCCTATGCAATCACTGCTATATTTTCATTGTTCTGTACCGGACTTCCTAAGTAGCTGGCATTTTTAGCAAAGGCAAACGACCAGCTAAAGCACCCTGCTTTTAATAACTGAAACTCTTTATACTCTTGAGCTCTCACAATTTGCCTGCGTGCATTTCAGTTTGTATTTCCATAGGCTTCAACATGCCAAAAGGCTGCTACTATTACTAATGGCAATGCTAATATTGCAGGGAAATATACAGGCAGGAAGGGGAACAAGAACATATATCACATGCAAAATAATAACAGGAGCAAAAATTCATTCAACAGAGCCATATGTGTTCATTTATTGCTGCAACTGGAGTTACACTGAGAATAGTGGCTACACCTAAACAAATAGGTCTGCTTCATCTATTTTGTGCCTTCCTGCTGCAGCAGCTTCAATTAAAGCTATACACCATTTTATGCTCCCTACCCAGACCAGCAAAACTAGCAATAAAACAGAAATTATCAGAGCTGCAGTGGTTCCCTTCTGCAATGGCTCCACAGCTCAGAAAGGGATGCTCCAGCCATGGAAAACACCTCATCCAGATGCAAAACTCTGTTATTTCCCCATCTCACACACACCAGATTGCAGTTCGCACAAACGTGATGAGGACATCATCATGCTTCATGACCAGACAGGCAGTAAAGTCAAGAAGGTTGAGTTTATGGGATTTTTACCATGTTGCTGCACAGTCCCACACAGGAAACAGACAGATGGAGCTTTAATACATCCTGCCATTAAATTCAAAAGCAAAATCTTTGGGGCTGTGCTAGATCTGACACACTTTCACTCCATACCCTACTTTATATGCTTCATACCACAGCCAGTAAATTAATGTCTCAGCCTTTATGTATAATTTCTGACTGAATATACTACATGTCACTCCCAAACAGCTTTGCCAGCTCCTATGACTCTAAAAAGACCTACGCTGCTTTGAACACCCAGTCTATCAGCAACTCGAAAGTGCAACATACTTTAAATCGCAGTTGTATTTGAAAACTGATACTCAACAAAGCAGCTTGAAGAGAAATGGAGACACGTTTCACTTGCCAACAACTCAGTAGAAAAACACAGCTAAAATAAATACAGCAGTGCACCACACCACAGCATATGCCAGAGACCACAGAGAAATGAGCATCCGTGGTCTTATTCTTTAAGTCATAAACAGAAAAGCTATTAAACAAGGGCAAAAAGTTCATCACTAATCACGGATGTGATTTACTTTATTTCCCACTGTAATTTTATAAAGGTATTTGGAACTCAAAAGAGGGACTGACAGCAGGACATCAGAAGACAGCATCTGGCTTTCTGAAATGCACTCAAGGCAACTGTACGCTAACCTGGCTGCACTCCTAAATGCAAATTTTAAGGAACACCTCGGAGGATGGATTAGCCATTGGCAGACACGCTCTACCACATGACAAAGAATCCACCTCACTCAGAGAATGCTAAACCTTTACGTCCTCCACTTCGTGAAGGCAAACACCAATATTTCAAGTCAACGTCTAGAGCTGGGCAGACAGCATTATGCCAATACTGAGAAGGATCGAGCATATCTTGCTTTTCTGTCTGAAGTCCATTCATTGAAAGGATACACCCCATTCCAACTCAGTGAATGGGCTGTATCTGAAGAAATCAGGGGAACAGCAGCACTGCCTTCCTGTGGCACATACCCAGTGAAAAAGCACCTTTGTTTAATGATGCTAGTCTTTGCAGCTATTAATAATTTTATTGCAATTCATACATAATTATGTTTGCCCTATGTCATAAATATAACTTAAACTAGAAAAAAAATGCACATGATTCAAAGACAATATTTTTGTGATATCCTAACAATTTTCTTCTAGATACTGATTTCTAAACTGATTTGTTATATCTAACCCAAATTTGCTGAGTTGGGTTTTGTGGTTTTGGTTTTTTTTAAAGCCACTTTAGGAGTAAATCCTGGATACTTGACTAACATATATATACTCCTAAATAATGATATATTCTTTGTTCATCAATGGTACAATACTTGTCACTGTAACTGTACCACAGCGGTAAACAAAATCTGACTGAATTTTATCATGTATTATCGTGTCAAAATATGCCACTGAAGAAGTGTCTTCCCAGCTTCAAGCAACTATGTTGGTTAGTATCATGAAGCACTAATGAACTGAAACAATAATTCCTGTATAGCAAAATCATTATCATATTTTCTCTCTATGTAACACTGCAACTTTTTTGTCTTTATATTACTATTTATAGGATATACCTTTTATGCATCTGGCTGTAAAATTCATTCCTTCTCCTGAAAGGAGTGCTAAGCATGACAAGCACTCCTTTTCATGCTTAGGAACCCACCAACACATATAAAAAGTTTGAACTACTTTTTCCAACATACAGAATTACCTCTACTGCACTACTCAATCGCCTTTTGTTAGCAGCCCTGGCTCAAAAGCCACTAAAGTGAAGAAGGAACAACTCTCTGAAATTCTGTAGGTACTCATTAACCAGGCTTTCCAGATCTTTTTCACACAGCACTAACACTAGTGTGAATCCATGGGCACCTTAGGAAATTATTCTGGGTTTTCTAGATACCTTTACTAAAAATAAGTCCCACTGAAGATCTATGTGTTTCATGATCTGAGATGTCAATGTTAAAATACACCAGGGCCCAGACCAGCGGGATCTGTTTCTCTTTGAGTGGGCTCCAGTACCTTACCCTCCCAGTAACAGTGGCTCACATAACTGAATCTGCTTTTTTGCTTTAGTACAGAATTAAGGAATTCCTTAGGTCCTGAAGGTCAACTGTAGACAAATGATGAACAGCAGTGCAAGCAGACTTGTGTCATCCTATGAAAAACACAAGGGCATACCATGATACCACTGGTAATGGGCAAGAAGCTACAAGGCAGAGGGAACCCATGTCAGCAATTAAAAGGATCAGTTTTAAGGACCATCCATATCTTTCACACATCAGTTGCTATGCAGCACACGTCTGAGGTAATTTGTAAAATTCCAGTTACGCTGCAGTTGCTCTGCTCAATTATTTTGTCTTTGAAAAAAGATGAAGAATCACTGCTGCCAGTAAATGTACCACTACATGGCACCTATTTGAAAGAACAAGAAATCTGAAAGCAAAATCTATGCCAATTATCTAGCTATACCGAGGATCGGTAGCAAGTCCTAAGGATGCTGCCATAAATTAAAAAGGAATATTCATTATTAATTCACACCAAGGGTGACAAGTGTGAACCTTTTTCAGATTTAAAGACAAATGTCTTAAGTTCTAAGCCAGATGAGAATGTCACCCCAACCACAGTATCAGCAGTGCCATGCTGTAATGAGGCGCCTGCACTGTTCTACACATTCTAAATTTTACAGCCTTTGCATGCCCTAAGGGACCAGTCATTAAAAGGTCACTTGAGAAATAAATTACTTTCTCCCTTGTGGCAAGTTTCTGTGAAATAAAAACCTAATGTTGACACCTCCACACAGCAGCATATTTATTGTCTGTTCCAGAGAGGGCAAGTAGGGCTATGAATCTCATGGCAGTTACAGAGACACACAACAGAAACCAGAAAAATAAGAGAATTGAACAGGCATGGCTGGGAAAATTTCCTCTCTATCATGCACACTGCCTCTAGTCATGAGCACAAATAAAAGCAGCAAACAATCCTTCTCTTCCCATCCCTTTCGTTCTCATCTCTTTTAGAAAGATGCTTCTAAAAACCAAGTGTCCTAGGAGAATTATTAAAATCCAAATCGTCAAGAGCAAATGATGCTTGAAACAGATGAGCAGGCATGGTAGACAAGTATTTTAAGGAAAGCAAACTTCCACAAAAAACTTGTCTTTCTTCTTGGGTAAGAAAGATTCTAGGAACTCTTCTTCCTCCTCCAAAAAAAAAATGTGGCATCATTCACAGAACTGCTATTTTTAGCTGAAAAATAACAAATACAGATTTAATGCAAACCTTTCCTGAATTTACTGAATTCTTGAATACCTGAACACAGACTTAAGGTGTGAAATATAAGCATTTAAATCAATTTCTTCTTAACACAGAAGAGGCATGAAATTCAAAAGAACAAGATCAAAAGAGCAATATTATTTATAGCCTTTTCCCATATGCTCATTTGTCATAATGTTGACAGATGTATAAATTGAGTAGACTTGAATAGGCAATACAATTCAATGAGAGCATGCATAATTCTGAACAGCCAGCAGCCAGCATCCTTGAATTTGAACAATCTGCCAGTAGACAGGAGAAAGGAAGGGGAAAAACAGAATACAGTGCACAATCCCACAGACTGTAACTACACACATATGAAGCAAAACCAAACACCACTTACTTCAGATTTGGAGGATACGTTTTCCTCCACATCAGAATCACTGGCATCTACAATATCATCAAACGGTGGCAGAGTAGGTGTCTTCCTTTCCAGTGTATTGCTTTCAGTTTTGACTCTTCCCACCTTGGGCTGAAATCTGTCCTTTGTCTGTTTTTTGTCAGCTGAACAAGTAAGAATCAGTGGTGGGGTACTAGAGAAACTTTTAAATAACAAATCTGGGACACTTTTTTTTCCTTTTTTTGCTGAATTTTCATTAGAGTCCACAACAGAGTGCCTTTTTGTGAGGGCCTTCTTTTCTTGCTGCTGCCCACCTGTTATGGTAAGGATGGGGGTGTTTTCAGATTTCAGCTCCTTGGGTACAGATTTGGGTTCCTTGAAGGCCATCTTAGAAACTATTTTGTCATCTTTTAATGGTTTGTTTTCTTTGGGTTTCTTAGAGGATTCTTTGGAAGATTTGTTCTGTTCCCTGGAAGGTTCTTTGAAGGCACTTTTATGTTCTTTTGAGTCTTTAGAAGTCTTTTCCTTGTGCTCCTTTGTTAACTTGTGAGTCTTCGAAAAACTGTTACTACTGCTGCTGCTACTTGTGCTCAGAATCTTAGTTGGGTCCTGCAAAAGGGAAATACAAAATCAAACTTACAAAACCTCAAAAAAGAACCCTTTAAGCCCTGAAAGACAAACAAAATATGGATACAAGATTCATATTAAAAACTTGGAACTGCAGGTTGAAAACCAGAAAATGCAAATGCCTATTTAAGAACAGGTCAAACCCCACCATTTTGGGCAACTTATCTGCAATAAAGTGGTGGAACATGAGCAGGTACCATGCTTGTCAATATCTGCAAGACAAGTTATTTTTTTTATCTTAAGAATTAGCTATGATTTTTACGAAACATTGTAAGATGAACATAAAAGACAGTTTAGAAAATTTTAACCATGTCAATTAGCTACGAGAAAAAAAAAAATGTTAGAAAAGATCAAGCTAAGAACCATATACTGCCAACAGAATTACTTCAGGATCAGAGTGAAACGTGCTCCTGTTACACTGCAGGCAAAGTTTGACTTCTCTACTGGGATGCTCTTTCCAGCTTTTGCCAGATCCTTTCCCTTATACAGGTATAACAACTCTGGGTCCAGCCTGGATATGGAAGACTTGATCTGACACAAAACATCTCAGCAGTCAATGTCTTTTAATGGAAAACCTCCTTGATTAAAAAAAGCTTTCCTCTGTATTTATTGCTGCTGTCTCTGCTGAATATTTGATAGCATTTTTTAAAATCAACTAAACATGGATTTCTGAAAGGGTGATGACTCAGAGATCTTAAAGGCAAAAGCAGAAAGCAGAATTCTTCACCCAGCTGAATCTGGAAAGTCAAAGTAGGAAGGAAAGTGGTGACCTGTAGCTAGAGCTGGCAACAAGGGAACTGAACCATATGCTGTGGGTCATATGGGATCCTTTCTTCTGAGAATTAACACCTAGGAATTCTCAGAAGATGAGGACAGCCACAGCACTGCCCACCTTCCACTTTCATCAAAACTATTAACAGTAGGTGCTCAGAACCTCAAAAATACCCAGTAGCCTAACTGCACTGTTATTAAGAGTAATCACTTTAGTACTCTCTCCAGAAACAAGCTTCATTTTTATATGACTTTCCATCTGCAAAGTGACATTTCAATTTACAGGAACCTATGGTCAAGCTGTTCAAGTTTAGGTTGCTTACTTCCAAGCGGATTATAAGCATTTTTAACTGTGTATTTCCTATCATCTAAGAAACTTTTAGAAAGAAACATTTCAACAAATATATTGCATTACAATATTGCACCAGTGTTACACAGATAAGGGTTTTGGCTGGGATAGATTTAACTTTCTCCCTAGTAACTGATGCAGTGCAGTGTTTTGGCTTTAGTCTGAGAACAATGCTGGTAACACACTGATGTTTTAGCTGTTGCTCAGTAGGGCTTACCCTAATAAAGGACTTCTCAGTCTCTCATGCTCTGCCAGTGAGGACGGGCACAAGGAGCTGGGAGGGAGCAGAAACAGAACACCTGACCCACACCACAGCATGTCATGCCCAGTATATAAAACTCAGAGGAGTTGGCAGTGGCATTGGTGTGGGGGTTATCACTACTCAAGACAGGCTGGGTATCAGTCAGGAGGTGGAGAGCATCACTTGTGTTTTCTGAACTTTCATTTTTCCTTGTTCCCATTATATTATCATTATTATTTCAAAATATTAATTTCAACTATTACTCTGTTCTACTTAATTTCAATTATTAAACTGCTCGTCTCAACCCTCATGTTGTGCCTCCCTCCAATTCTCCTCCCCATGCTGCCCTGCATGGGGCAGGGAAGGATGGGAAGTGAGAATACAGCTGTGTGGCACTCAGTTACTAGCTATGCTTAATCTATGATGGCTAGGTAACCAATTTTTTCCCCCTTTTTTTTTTCTTTTCTTTTTCCTTCTCCTAAATGCACAGACTAAGCATTAGAAGTTGTAAGTTATGTAACCTTGACTTGAGCAGTGAACAAATGAATTCACATGATGATTCACCAGTCTGGACAAAGCGGATAGAGCCCTATTTTTTTTTGTGTTTGTTTGTTGTGTTTCTTAATAACCTTGTGAAATAATACTTAAATCACAGAGTACATTGTCCTGTAAATTTGAAACATGCAAACGGACTGTGACAGCTGCTCAACAGATAATACATTTGCAGATTAGAACATTTTAAACTCTTTAACTACAAAGCAAAAAACAGTGTTGAACTTTCTGTGTATCTTGCAGGGTGGGATTCTGACTTCACACCACAAAATATAATTCCCAGGTTGGTTGAAATGTTTTTGAATAAGCAGTATCCTCTGGAAATCATTTCAAACCTATCCAGTTGCTGACAGACATTATGAACCTAATTAGCAAATGAAGCAGTTGGGGGCAAGGAGGGGTGGTTCATTAAATTTTATGAAGTCATTAAACTGAGCACACTGGCATGGCCATGCCAGTCTACTTTACTCTGGGTTTAGTCTACAATTTAGTACAAGTGGTCATAAAAACATGTATTATTTTCATGTGTAATAAATAATGTTATGCCTATTGAAAAGTTTTGTCTATGTCAAGCCAGTGGACTGGAATTAGTCTCAAATATGCCTTCTGCTCTAAAGAGGAAAAGAGAAAGAAAATAAAAAATTGCTCAAGGAAATTCAGGTTACTGTTGAATACAAATGTGTTTACTATTTGGTAAAAACATTGATTAGGGAGGGGAAAAAAAAAAAGGTGAAAAAACCCACAACAAAATCCAAACCACAACACTTTGAAAGCCTCCACAAATACTGTGGCTTGCTAGCTTCATGCTGTAAACAAATTTACCTACTGCTAGTTCTTGCAGATTATTAGTGTCACCCATTTAGAAAGCTTTCCACACTTCAGCTTGTCCAGCCCTTCAAACTACTACGAACAATGACATCAGGAGAATTAGAAGCAGATGGAGAATTACAGGGCTCACTGGTTTGACACAGAAATCCAAAAGGGGGAGCATTAAACAATTTTATTTCTTTTTCCTGGTCACTCACGGGAATAAGATCTTTTGGGTTTTTGTTTATACAGTAAACCTCATTTCACTGCAGCTGACACTACACTCATTCCAAAAGACAATCACACCAACAAAGCTGATCAAACTGCTTCTCTGTATTCTGTGCATGTAGTATTTACATAATACAAACAAGCACAGTAATACCACTGGTTTAAAGCCAACACAAGTTATCACCAGCTAGCCTGCAGCTATTTTTTATATTCTGAGAAAATGCATAAAGTAAGGTTTCATGTATTTCTGCATGTCCTCTGTATTTCCAAGATTAAAGCTTTGTTTCAAAATCACGGTACTGGGGCTCACTAATACCATCTGCATTAAGTTACAACACAAAATCATGGAACTTCAGAAACGCAAGCATCTATGTTTTTTAATACTTATTTCAGAAGAAGGTGTGATAAAAAGTAGATTGACATTTCTCTCCTACTTCATACTGCATTGTACTTTTTTTCATAAGTAAATGCTGAACCAACAATACCACCTGGTTGCACTGGTTTTACTGTCTCGACTGCAATTCTTCTCTAACCAGAAAGTCTGTGTGCTTTGTAATGCGTGTGCATCTGTGATGCTTTGTAACAGCAAATGGATAATCAAACATTCTTAGGTTCTGGTTTTCCATACTCATAGCTTAAAACCTACCTCAAAGCTTACTTTCATATACACAGACACACAAAAAAAATCAAAACCAAGCGAAGCACATCACAGGGCTATTGCTGCAGAAGAAAAATTCCCAAACCATCTAGCACAGACATAGGGACAACATGCACCCACTGTTTCAGTACAGACCACTTAAAACCAAGAGCTACCAAGACCATTCTACAGCTCCTACTGTAGAGGCATATTTAAATTAAATTTAGACATTGAAATTGTTCCATCACTAGGGCTATTCCAAACGACAAAACCAAAATCCTGTTTACACATTGTCTGGAACTCTCCTGATGTCAAACAAAACCAAACAAAAGTCAGACAAAACTCCAAGGCTTCTCAACTCCCAGGATTTGTAATAAGAAACTTGAACTTCTTTGTTATGCTAAACCCAAGGTTACTTTGTGTCTCCACTTCTCAAAAACAATGAATGATCCTAAGTACAGTAGGTATTTTCAACTCTTTTCCAAGTCTACAACTCTCTTAGAAATTACATCTCTCTTACAAATCTATTTACCAAGAGTAGACTTAGGTTAGATACTAGAAAGAAATTCTTCAATATGAGGGTGGTGTGGCACTGGCACAAGTTGCCCAGAGAAGCTGTGGGTGCCCCATCCTTGGGGCCCAGAGCCATTCAGGGCTGGACTGGACAGGGCTGTAAGCAACCTAGTCTAATGGAAGGTGTCCCTGCCCATGGCAGGTGTTTGGAACCAGATGATCTTTAAGGTCCCTTCCAACCCAAACCATTCTATGATTTTATGAGGTAAAAGAACTGTTACTTATTAATATGTGTTTTAAGTTGGACACGAAGAGACAGGTTGTTGGAAGAAGGGGAAAAACTGTGTTCATACTGACTGGCAAGAAACAGTGTATTGATACAACATCTCTTCCCACTGTTAAAAACTCCAGTGATCAGCATAGAAGGTTGAAAAAAAGAGTGATTTCACATAACAGCACTGTTGCTGAACATTCCTACTTTGAAACCACAGTTAAAAAAATACCCAAAACTTGGGTAACAATTTTACAGATATTGAGTGCAATCGTGCAATGTGATGCATGTCTAACCTGCTACTGCTATGGGTCAGACTCTCTGCAGGTGGCTGGCTTGCTTCAGCACAACTGAAAGGTTTCAGACATTTGTTCATAAGGATGAGTGCAGAAAACATGCAATACTCCTTTCACCATGCTTTGCCCCAACCACACTCCACACTTGTCAGGTTTCTACACCGGTCAAAAGTTCATTGTCTGAATATGGTTCAAAAAATGAGCAGCACTTGCTTATGAAAAAATCCACACTGGAGATTCAAGACTTACCATGTACAGCTACTAGTGTATGACTCAGTAGCATGTCTGTACCTCCCAGAAATACTTCTGCAGGTGTTTGGGTTGCTTATTTAGGCCAAACCGGCGTATACCTGCTTTGGCATACAATGCAGGACATGGGTGAATCAACATTACAGCTGAATCTGAAGAAGTGATTGGAAACGGAACTCTAGAGTGCCACCCAACCTCACAAGGCCCTACTATAGATGGTACTGTTGAAGTAACTCATCTTCAGTATCTGAGTAGATGGAGATGTCTCCAAGTCTGAGCACTCAAAAAGTTATCTTCAGCACCTGGTTTAGACACATGCTTTCCTTGTATGTATTAAGCAGTCACTCTAGCATGTCAAAGTAAGCAACGTAAGTCCAATCCTCAGAATTTACATCAGCTCCTCATTAGGAAGGTAACATTCCAAGGTATCCTTACTGTTGTGACACATTCCTATTAATGGACACACTTAGGCATACTCATAGTTCATTATCTGACCATTCTTACAAGATACAAGATTGGCACAGCTATCAAACATGAAAGTTATTGATAAAAAAGTGTACAGTCCCTTGCAGTATGCACACTGCAAGATCTGAAATACTTTTTCTAATGGATAAGATGCTAAGAAAGAAAGCCAAACCCCAAACAATTTAACAGAATGGAGAAAAGATATACATACTAATTCATTTACAAAGCAAGTCATTGTGCTGCATTTCATCTGAATAAATTTCAAGATTCTCTTTATTACTCCACACCATTAACTCATTCTGTCAAAGTGAAAAAATTATCTGCTGTTTGAGAAAGGTCTACTTGTAGTACTCAGAAGGTTCATTGGACTACACCTTTTTACCATGTTGCAGGTTGGGAATTCAATTTCGTTTTCTAGCGACTAATGACACATTGTTGTCTTTGAACTACCTAGCAAAGAACTAACTCCTGAAATCTAAACAAAATTAAAAATTCTAAATAACACATCATCACATTTCACTTTACACAATTATCTTTAAAAGTATTAAAAAAAACTTAGTAAATGAAACAATTATTATGATATTTTATCACATTCTTTACATTTCAGTAGCTCACACTTCCATCACCAGAATCCCCCAATTCTACAACAGACTATTAGAATTTCTCCTGGGAAACGAGGAAAAAATTACATATGTATAGTAACCAGAAAAGCCGTTTTTTCACTGACACCTATTCTGACAGCAAATCTTGTTCGGTATTATTTTAATATGGTAAATTCACAACATAGAACTATCAAGACCTATTATCAACGGGCTACGTCATGAGATTGCAAAAATACCTAGAAATATTAGTAAATTCCCAGGGAAAGCACCACTAATTCAAGTATCTTCCAGCAAAATAATTCTCACCTTTGACCCATAACATAATTTCTTCTTCACTTCAGAAAAAGACATGGGCTTACTGAGAAGGCTGGGGAGACAGAGGCTCTGTCCTGAAGAGAACGATGTGCCATCTGGCATTACCATGATCTGTTATAAGAGGGAAAGCATGTCAGTTGAACATTACCAGAGACAGGGAGAGTTTCACCTGCATAAAAATGAGCAAATCACATTGGTAGGAGAATAAAACGTCTCCAGCAAACAGTACTCATGCATTAATGTAAACACGCTGCCATCTTCTATTTATGAGTAAATCATATCCTTCAATTTCCATGCAGATACAATGCAAACCCCTCACAAAATGGCATAACTTGTTCTATTCCTTACATGCTGTCGTGGTTTAAGCCCAGCCAGTAACTCAAAACGATGCAGCTGCCTGCACACTCTCCCCCAACCCTATCCCCCCCACCCCCCCGCCCTGCTCCTGGAGGGATGGGGAGGAGAACCAAAAGAATGTAATTCCCACGGGTTGAGATAAGAACAGTCCAGTAACCAAAGTGTAACACAAACCACTGCTGCTACCACCAATAATAATAATGATAAGGGAAATAACAAGGGAAGAGAATACAACCGCTCACTACTTGCCAACCAATACCTAGCCCGACCCTAGCAGTGATCTAACCCTTCTGGGTAACTGCCCTCAGTTTACTTACTGGGCATGATGTGCTGTGGTACGGAATACCCCTTTGGCTAGTTTGGGTCAGGTGTCCTGTCTCTGCTTCCTCCCAGGTTCCCCTCCTCCCTCGCAGAGCATGAGACTCAGAAAGTCCTTGGTCAGAGTAAACATTACTGAGCAACAACTGGTGTTATCAGCACTGTTCCCAGGTTGAAAGTCAAAAACACAGCACTGCACCAGCTACTAAGGAGAAAAATGACTGCTGCTGCTGAACCCAGGACACATGCCATGACACCTGAGTCCTCAGCACACTTTCTCTCAAGCCTAGTACACTTGAAAGTTCACCCTACTTGCACTAAACTGTTCTGTGGGCTGCAGACATCCCGTAAATGAGGATGTGCAGCAATCTTCGTTTCCTACTAAAGCAAAGTGAAGGAAGATTTTAATGGGTACAGGTAGGAAGGTTAGGGTGGCAGGGGCAGCCTCTGTGAGGAGAGGCCAGGGAGTCCCTCATGCCGCACACAGCTGGCTTTCACACACCCACCACAGGACATGGCTGAGCCCCTCAGCCAACGTGGCAGCGCCTCACAGAAAATAGTTGTAAGGGCAAAACACCACGCAGGCAGAGGTGTGAACACCAAGAATGAGGGGAAGAGGTGCTCTGGGTGCTGGGAAAGGTATTTCCCTGCAGTCCATGGAAAGCCCATGCTGGAGCATTTCTTGAAGGAATTCAGCTCACAGAAAGGACCCATGCTACAGCAGGGGGAAAGTGTGAGGAGGAGGAGAGGCAGAGAGGAGCTGTTACACACTGACTGCAAACCCCATCCCCTTGTGCTGCTTGTGGAGGTGGAGACAGACAAGTCCTGAACAAAGGGGTGAGGGTGAGCATGGGAAGGTGGTGCTGAGCAGTGGTGGTGTCTTCTTCTTTTGTTTCATGTTACCCAAATCCATTTTAATTTGCAACAAAATTAAATTAACTTTCCCCAAGTTGAGTCTGTTTTGCACATGACAATAACTGGTGAGCAATCTCCCTGTCTTTACCTTAACCCATGAACCTTCTCCTCCTATCTTTACTCCTGCCCTGTTCAGGAGGCAGAGTGACCAAGTGCTTGGGTGCGAGTTCATCACCCAGAAAAGCTTAACTCACCTCAAATATACAGTGTAAGAACAGCCTAAGGTTTTAATGTGAAAGCTGTACACCTCTATCTTCAAGCTTCTGGCTTATCTGGAGTACAGTAAACTGGATGGCTGGTGAGCAAGCAGCATTTTTGCTATAACAAGGCTCTAGCTCCCTTTCTTGAGTTTAAGGACTCTTTAGTATATTTCCATAGATAAGTTCACTGTCACAGAGCAGTTACCAGGTATGTAAAGATTATGCCTTCCATCTGAGAGTAGCTCAACTATCTCCTGTCCTCTACTCCAGTGCTGCTGTGCCTAGCACACTTCCTAGCACAGCTATCCATTTATCTACTGTTTCAAAGCCTAAATGCCAGAGACAGCTTACTTGCCCCCTGACAAGCCCTGCAAAGCTGGCAAGAAGTTGCAGAGCTCTGTACCTACAAGGAAATATCTCTCTCTTTCCACCCATTCCCATGCACAACATTGCACCTGATTTAGTGGATGCCATGTGTGTGGTCACCTCTTCATATGGCCAAAAGACCCTTTGATACTGGGGATGGGGAAAGACTGACCCATCCCATGCCTCAAGCACATTACATCAGAAGGTCAGGAAGAGTAGAATTAGGACATCTGAGGCGTGGCAGACTTGGTAAATCCAATTCCATTCAGTGAAAAAATAAGACAACAAAATCTATGCAGTCCAAACTGTGAGCCCTGGAAAGATCAAATATACTGAATTCTGCCGTCTGTTATTTCACTTTAAACCCTATGAAAAATAGCAATCTTGGATTCAAAATTTTAGCATGATTAATGTATACAATAAGACAGAACTTCAGTTCAAACTGCAGACTTTACTGTCAGTAAAGAAGACAAAAGACTGGGAAAACCTCATGTAAGTTTAACTTTTTGGCCCCTATGATACAAACCGCACCTCTGCCTGCCAAACTTGTTTCTGTCAGAAAAATGATACGATCCTCATTAGAATACTCTATATAAAAGAAAAAAAAGAAATAAAAATCACTAAATCACTTGCCTCCTCCTCCCTCTCACAGAATAAAGTTAATACTAGCATTCAGTAACTCTTCAGAAACTCTTCCAAAACACTTACTTTCTTTGCCAAGTTCATCTGTATAAAAAGTCCCTGCATTAGAAACATTTTATAGAATTGAGGTGCACTTCCCTTTTGGCTAAATTTAGGAAAAAGACAGCTATACATCCAGTTTAAGTTTACTGAAAGAGCTCATCTGACAGAATTATAGCAACTTCTGCAGTGGGTAACTGCCCACTTCTCATTAGTGAAACACATAAACACAGAGCCTGGGAGATGCACTTCAACCAGCTTCTAGAGCAACCCCCACCTTTACATCATCACATGCACAACATTTAGTGCTTAAGTGTGTGTATGCAAGTCTATGTATATGGCTATATTAAGACAAGGCTACCAGAACAGCAAAAGGTGGGAAATGACCACATTTGCAGCAAGCTGCTAATTCTGCAGCAGGACTGCATGCTAATCAGAAGCACAGCAAGAGCTCTCCAGTCCAGCCATGCTATGTGCACTGGTTTTTGGGGTTTTTTTTACTCATTTCCTCCTTTCTGCATTATAAGGCTACAGCTAGCTTGTAGCTGCAAAGAGTACACCCTCATTGGCGCAGGACACTGCCAGAGGCCACGCTGAAGTCAGGCACCCAAGACCACCCACAGCTTGTACTTGTCTTCTCCCACAAGGAATCACTTCAGTGACAAAACCCAGACACATTACTAATTCTTCCCTTCAGCCCCTTCCACAAGTCAACAGTTCAGTGGGATTAGACAAACTGGTGGAGTAAGGCACCAGAGCTGCTGTTAACAAAGCAAGGTGAAACATCTAGTCCCTAAACAAATCAGTTAAAACAGACATGTAATCAGACTGAATTCACCAGTATGTGAAGCATAAAGTTCTGATTACAGTTTTGCTGTTCCCTCAAAAATACAGTTTGACTATATTTAAGCAGAACAGAGGTCTAGCTAATCTCACAGCTAGTCTCTGATGTAGTCAACAGTGACAGTAACAGGCCATGTAAAAGTAAGGAGTAAAAGTAGGGAGCTAGACATGCTTCTTCATAAGCACTAGAGGGCTTTAAAAAACCATCAGTGGATTTGAGTACCTGCTACTGGATAAGCTTTAGAAACATGGCCAAGAGAAAACAGTTTAACACTTTAATACCAGGGTACAAATGATGTAAGAATTCCAAAAAGGCTGTATTAAAAAATGTGTCAAGGGAGGTGACAGTCCTACTCTGTGCTGCCCTGTTGAAACCACCTTAAAGTACTCTGTGCAGTTTTAGGCACCTCAATATAAGGACACCAGATTACTAGAGTGTGTCCAGAAGAGGGTGACCAAGGTGGTGAAAGGTCTTGAGGGCCAGACTTAAAAGGAGCAGCTGAGGTTGTTTGGCTTGTTCAGCTTGGAGAGGAGAAGGCTGGGGGGGGGCATCATGGCAGTCTACAACTGCCCCAAAAGGTACAGTGGAGGGTGAGGTGCTGATCTCCTCTCTCTGGTGATCAGTGGTAGGACATTAGGAAATGGAATGATGCTGCATCAAAGGGAGTTCATACTGGACATTAGGAAAAGGTTCTTCACTGAGGCTGGTCACTGGAACAGGCTCCCCAGGGAAGTGGTTGTGGCACCAAGCCTGTCAGAATTCAAGGATGTCAAGTCAGAGTGTCAAGGATGATGCTCTTAGTCATATGGTTTATTTTCAGGTAGTCCTGGAAGGAACAGGGAGTTGGACTTGATAATCCTTATGGGACCCTTACAAGTAGAGACATTCTACCATTTTATGTAGTCACACTGGGTTGGGTTTTTTTCTTAATAAAAAAAATAAATATACTTTCACCTGTTGGTGGGAACTTTGTAATTTTCATGAACAGAAATTCTTTGCACCTATAGGAAGCAGCTAATATACTATTACAGGACTGACAAGGAAAAAAATGCCTCTAAAACCAGACAGGCCATAAACGGAAGTCTAAAGTAAGTGTGGGCCCACTGCTAAAGGGGCAAGAGACCTCATGACAAAGAACATGGCTTAAGTACTCAGTGTTCTTTTAGCCTCTGTTTACACTGATAACATCTTGTTTCCTCAGGCCTTTGAGTTATCTGAGCATCCTCACAGAGCCTTCAGTGGTGAGTCAGTGCCCACAATAGAGGCAGACTGAGTTCAGGTGAACTTCATCCACAGAGACAAAGGTTCATGAAACAAGACTGGATGGAGGGGTACTGAAGGAGATGGTTAGCTTCATTGCAAGGCAGCTCTCCATCATCTTCAAAATGTTTTGGTGATTAGGAAAGGTTCCTGATGGCTAGGGAAAGGTA